GAGAGAGAGAGAGAGAGAGAGAGAGAGAGAGAGAGAGAGAGAGGCGTGCTGTCTTCTTGGCGGGAAACTTTGGGCTCGTTTATTCCTTTTTGTTACGATTAGAAAGAAGAGGAGAAACGATCCTTTAACCCTTTCGAATGGACTCGACGAGACCATTTCCCTGCACGATTTCTCGAAACGGCTAATTTGAAACAATGATTTCGCAAGCGAATTAACGTATGCGTCTTTACGTGACGAAGAAAGGAAATTTATCGAATATTTATTGTTTCGCGCGATATTTTAACCCTTTTCCACTCGTACGTCGTCGTATACATTAGCAAATATATGTGTAATGTAATTACATTCCAGGTACTGTTGATTGGTAACCTTCTTAAATATAAATACGAGGATTAACAATGAAGCAATCGGCGAGATGCATTCTCGGGCAAGTGTGAAATGTCGTTCGATGTCTTTCATCTTTCTTATTTTATAGCAAATCTTACAATCCCAATAACATTCTATTATTCTTATTTTTCACCTCTGCTTATACACCTCTCTATCTTCGTCGCTGCCTTCCTTCCCTCAGCGAGTGGAAATAATTTATTCGTTATCGAAAAATCAAACTCATCTTCGAACAAACTTCATTCATTTCCAAAACTCAACAACTATGAGAATAATATTCTTCTATCTATAGCCACCGACTCGATCTAATTCGAGAAAATTTATCTATTTCCAGATATATTATTCCACGCTTCGCAAGATTCTTAACGAATAGAAATAATTTCGTTATTTCGAGAAATCAAGCTCGTGCTAATTGCTCGAACTAATTTCACAAACTTTGAGAACAATGTTTGATCTAATTTCGGATAAAAAAATCTAACCACTCGATTATTCTATACTTTATAAGATTACACAGGGATCTAGATTCAAGAAGCGATGTTTTGAAAGGATGAAACGTAAAGTAAATATCAGAGGGTCAGAGGGTTAATCGTTCCGTCAGGTTGAGGGAAGGGGAAAAAGGGGGAGAGGAAGCGTGTTCTCTCTTAATTCGAGAGAAGTAAAGCGCGACACTAGCGATACTCGTGTTCAGAGGAAAAGGATGTGGAAAGATTACGATTGTGTAGGTCAAGGAAGGAATGCAGTTGACAAGGCCGAGTTGCGATTGTAAGCTCTACCCCGCTCCAGCTACCAGTTTCCAACCTCTATTAATAGCGCCGATTATCCTTTTCCAGGATCCAACCTCGAATCGAATCTCTCGAATCGAGAATAAGTTCGTTCATCAGAGATCGTTCGTCAGAACAAGTTGACCGTGCGTTTGCAATTTTTAACAATCTAATAGATCGATTGGATCTAAATTTTCGAATCAACTCGTTATTCGTCTTGGCGTGTTATTTGTCGGACGATCGAGCGCCCCCTTTTTTACAGCGTGGGATGCGTAAGAGAGAAACGAATAAAAAGAAATACGAAGAATTATATTAATCGAGTGTTTACATTTCTCTGGAAACGTAGCCGATCGATTTTTATCGTCGGCTTTCTGAAGCAACTCAAGATCGCGGCCGATCCTTTCCTCGAGCACCACACACAAAATGTTCACGCTGCCCGAGAAAGATCGTTGCTTCGTATTTTTATCAAAAAAAAAAGAAAAAAAAGAAAAAAAAATTGATAAAAACGAAATATCGACGCTACGTTTCCACAGATACTCTCAAGATGTGCAACAACTCCAATCGTTATCTCGTGCAGATCGAGAGGCAGTTAAAACCGAGAACTACTGTTTACCGAGTATCGAGGGGCAGCAGTGATAGGGGGCGGCCATGGCGAGGCGGGAGCTCAGGTAGAGGTCGACGTAATTTGGCGCGTGGCACGGACAGAGGAGGCGGTGGTACGGCGCTACGCTCGGCGCCACTCTCAGATCGAACGAGTTCCAATTCAGCCCGCGGTGGAGATCGGGCGCGAGGAACAGCTCGTTCCTCGACGGCGGGTTCATCGTCCCGCCCAACCTCCCCGCGATTCTCCCACTTTCGGACGTCATCGATATTCCACGTCGTGCGTTCCTTCCCGATCGAGATCGGCTCTCCTCGTCCGCTCGATCCCCATTTTCGATCTTCTCCGCAAAAAAGAAAAGAAAAGAAAAAAAGAAAAAAAGAAAGGAAAGTCGAAAGTGTGTATTAGGAAATATCCTCGATTCGTGAAAAACTTTTATCTTCGTATAATTCGTTTCGTTTGGAGTCCATCGAAGGCAGGGAAGAAGTTGGTCGAACGATTCTTCGAGGAGAAGGACGATGACGTTAAAACGCTCGAATATCACTTCCGTTCCGATCCGAGTTCGATCCTTGCTTAAATATCGTTGCTTTGTCGATATCGTTACGTTTCACACACGGCCTTGTCGCACACGTCACCTCGCCGTAATTGCGTCGCAATCGTTGGTATGACGTTGCACGCGCGGGCAGCCAGAAAGATCAATGATTCTCCTCGATCCTGACGGGCGCAGAAAGGGAGAGGTGGCGATTAACCTTCGAATTCGAAAAATTCGACGCGAATGGTTGTCGCCTCGAGCGAAATTCGAATAGACGAAGCACGGCGAAAAATTATTTTTAACTTGATCCTCCTCGAGGATTCTCGTTGCTTCGTCGTTAGATTCCGAAGCTTCTCCTCAATTTCTCGAGCATCGGCTCGACGTTTCCCGCCAACGGCGGTGTCCGCCAATATAGAATAGGTCATCGATACGTATCGGTTTTTACGTTTTCGAGAAAAATCGATGCAGCTCGAACCACCTTCCCCTCCACCACGAAAAAGGAGGATCGAATGTGTTCGATCGAATCGCGACGAGGTTTCCTTCTCGAGAGGCCCGCTCGCGTGCTCGCACGAGTTCAGACGAAGCCGAACTAGCGCCGGTGCACGTCCGGGAGACCGCGTGGGTTGATATTCAACCCTGCTGCCGCCATCAACCACCCACTCGCCACCTTTCCTTCTCCCTCGCTCACCTTTCCTTCCCTTCGCTTCTTTCCACCCCAACCGATCCAGTCGATCGGCGACCAACGATTCCGAGGGGAAGGGGTGTTCCTCGAGAAGAAGGACGGCGTAGAGGAGGTGATAAATAATAGAGGCGAGAACAGGGGTGGTAGATGAGTTTGTATCCTCGAGTGCTCTTCTCTTGGAGAGAAAGAGTTTTGCAAGTTTTTCTCGACCCTTCGCGTTTCCCTTTCTGGTGAATTTGTTGAACGGTTTAAAACGATCTCCAAATCAACGTGTGAAACATTTATGTTTCGTTGTTTTATACGAAGGTAGGAAGAAACGAAATTTGTCAAAGTTTGTATTCGTTGTTTAGTGTGACGTATTTTAACAAATACCGAGATCGAAAAACTCGTGTCGAACTGATAACTCAACAACGACCTTCTACATTCAATTTCTCAACGAATAGAAATAATTTCGTTGTTTAATAACGACGAATATTTCTATCAACACTCTAGATCTAATTTCTAACCATTCGACAGTATATTATTCCACGTTTTATAAAAGTTTAGCAATCTATTATTCACGAAGCGATATTTAAAAAAAAAAGTCGCCGTTCGAATCGCCGCATTCGAGTGGTTGCCGTTGGAGCGCCAAACGGTTAAAGGAAGTTGAACCAGGTAGATTGTTAGAAAATCGATATTCCGTATATATATATTATATAGGCGAGCGAGGAGGACGACACTGGAAGAAGAAGAAGAAGAAGAAGAAGTTTGTCGTTTTCCTTTTATAAAATAATTTTTTTTACCGTTCGTATCCGTTCGAACAATGCCTCGACGGATGATTAGGAAAATGTTAAGGAATTTTTAAGAAATTTACGCGTGGTTGGAGAATCAAAGATGCGCGCATATTTCCTCGGCATTCCTCGAGCCACCAGCGTTGCGCAGTCCCTTCTCACGGATGCGCGTGTACGTACACGGCTCGGCCATAACGAAAATGCTAGTCAATTTTGTTGACACCGTTACTCGAATAAACTTGTGTCTATTTTGCTACAAGACCGACCAGGCCAACGTTGGAGGCGGTCCAGAAATTTTATTCCGACGTGGATTGTCCGCCGTTTCTTCGTAATAATAAATTTGTACGTATCCAGCCTTGGTTCTAAAACTTGGTCTTCTCTCGGATACCGCAATCATACCGACTCGTGTACACACATATATATATATAGGCGTGCAAATAACTTCTTCCCAAACTTTTCTTCCAAACTCAACATTTTAATCGCATAAATCGGGTACAAGATTTCAGTCGTTCGAACTTTCTCAACGTTCGCCGTCTTCCAAATTAAAATTTCCAAATTTAAATCCTCGCTACGACGCTCTTTGAGCGTGCTCTCTCGCAGCCATTTGGCGCCATTTCGATAGCTTCGACGACCGATTTTCTATGCTGGAACGCAAAGAGTATCGCTTCGAATCGTTGCATTTCTGGATTTCTTGGATTTCTTGAAAACGAAACAACGTTCTTTCGAATGATGCTATATTCGAATGAGAAATAAAAGAAAAAAGGAACTTATATGCACAATAATATACGTTGTTACCATCAGATGGTAATATATCTTTGAGAATGAATAAAATCGAAAGAGTCAGAGTATTGGACTCGTTGAAAAAGTGGCTGGTTGTTAAAATTCTCGTATAATCTCTCATTACGATTATTTCCAATTATTGTTATCATTAATTATCAAAATCGAAAGCAACGAACGTGTAAATTTACGACAAGGGTTAAAACTGTTCACCCGTCGAAAGTAAGTTCGAATTCGGTTAGAGAAGTTACGAAGAGAAAAAGGAGCTTATTTGCACGCATGGTTGACGTTGCACAGATTATGAATGCACGAGGGAGTATTCTCGAGAGATCGGTTTCGAGCCAAGCCTTATTACACTCCCTCGAACGATCGATTTTGGATATCATCGAAATTTTAAGACACGACGCCTCCCCCCCTATTTCGAGAGAGACTCGGTGAGTAATAAGCCTCGATTCATCCAGGCCTCCTTACCTCTTGATGACAGTTGTGAAACCGGGGGTTATGAATAATTCCTGTGGTATGCATAGCTGTATCGGCCAAACATATTCATTTCTTTTTGACGTTAAGTAAATAAAGTTGCCCGAAATTTTTTTCGTATTACGCACTTGGAATAGAACGCACTTTCCTATTATTCTTACAGATTTTTCCCCTCGATTTTCTTCTCGACCGACCGGTCGCCTGTCGAAAGCGAATGGAAAAAAGAAAGAAAGAAAGAAAGAAAGAAAAATGTTCTGAAAGAGCGAAATCGGAATTAAGAAGCAATGGTTAACCCTCGAATTCGAATTATCGTCGAACGAAAAACAGGAATTGTTGGGCATCGATTTCAATTTTGGCTAAACGATCCAAGAACGAACCCGCGTGATCTCCCTCGCGATAACGATTTCCTGACACTGGATCCTGACCGATCGCCGTTCTTTATCGTTCGCGATATCATCGACGATTCTGCCGCGTTGTAATTAAAATGAGATTGGTGCGAAGTCTTTGCACGTTGGAGGGAGAGAGAGAGAGAGAAGAAAAAAAAGGAAAACAATGAACGAGGGGAACGTATCGATAAAATAGATCACGGTCGATAAATGAACGGTTTCACGATTCCTGTTCGAAAAAAAAAAAGAAAAAGAAAAAGAAAAGAAAAGGTTTTCGTTGGATGTCGAGGAGAGAACGAGGAGGGGGGGGAGGAAAATAGAATTCTTACCGTCGCTACTACATCGGGAGTCGACCTTCCTCCTTTTCAACTTGAGGTCTTGAAACAAGCTCATGTTGTCTAGCTCACACGGGCTGCTCGTAAGGGTCATAATTCCTGGGAACAGAAAGAAAGAAAGCGAAAGTGAGAAGAGAAATATAATATAAGCGGGATTCAATTACGATGTATTGTCGATGATCATGCTCCCTCTCTTATTTTAGAGAGAATTAATAAACAATGTTTGAGAGAGAAAGAGAGTTTTAAAAAAGAGGAATCGCGATCGCAATCGATGGAAACATCTTCATTAATCACGTCGAACGTCTGATCACGTTTTCTCTTTCATTCTATATCACAATGATATATATATATAAACTGAATTCGCATCTTTCACGAATAATAACGCGATATGTTTTTCTCACTTTCGTGTTTTACGTTCTCCACTATCGTCCTATTTATTCATCCCTTTCGATAATCCCTAATACCATCACGTGATTGGCACTGAGAATGAATTGGCATTGGCAAAAAAAAAAAAAAAAACGAACCGATCGATAATCGAGGGCGTCGATTTTTCCAAATACGAGCTTTGACTATTTACTTTTATCGCGATTGATAAAAATCCCGTTCAACTTCTTCGAATAGCGGGAAGATAACACTGGTTTCGAGAAGGAAAAAAAAAAAAAGGAAAAAAAAACAGATATCCCCGGTAAAAATTGCGAAAATTGGAAAGGTTACGTCATATACGTGAACTGGTGGCTCGTGGTTAAAAAGCGAGGAGCGACTTTCTCGTAGCGAATCACGTTGTCACTGCCCGATTCGACCGATTCGCCACCTTCCACGCGGCTTTCCCTTCTCGTTTCGAGAACTGGCGGGCTTCGTGTAAGAGACGCTTCTCGACTAGCCCCGGCGTGGAAGTCATCTCGGCCTGGCCTGGCCTGGAGGATATCGGCTATCGCAAAGAGAACGGGCTGGATGTGAAAGTACCACGTACGTGGATACGTACGTGTGTCGGACGCACGCGTTCGCGATTACGGCGAGCGCATAGTTCGCCATTAACCCCTCTTCAGCCAATAGCATACAATTGGATCGTTGCACGCCAGTATCTTTGAGCGGTGAAAAGATACGATTCGATCCTATCCTTGCCGAGAGGCGAGAGAATCGACGCAAGTTTTAACACGGGGAAAAAAGATTTCGAAAAGGAATGGAGGATGAAAAAAAAAAAAAGAAGAAAGAATAATAATATTAATTTTCTTAGCGAAGGAAATTCTTTATTTAATTTTATTCGGAACGTTTGAAAAAGTGTACATCGCCTCGCGGACGAGTTCGAAAGCTGGAATAGGATCTCGTGTCGATTGGTGCACCAGGTCAGTTTAATAATAACTCGTCCAGAGTATCCTGATAATGATAAATCGCGTCTTATCGCTGCTGTTTGCCGTAATTAATGGCCGGCCAAGACGGGAGCCAGTTTTGCGCGAGAGAAATGGTCTATGACACACCATGGGTCGTTTTAATAAACGCCGTGTCGTAGATAATACAGGCCAATCGTATGCGAACGCCCGATTCACGCAACCACGCTGTAAACGCGTGTAACGTTTCGTCTCGAGTCCTCCATCCGCGATGCTGGAATAATCGACGTCAACGTCGACAGGTGATTTTTCTTGGGGCGAAGGAAAAGAAGGGATCGATATTAATTAAAAAAGAGGAGAAAAAAAAATGTTTAACATCAACGTAGATGTTAAACGCCCTCGATCCATTTGTGATATATTCGGGATGGAAGATCTGGCAGACAGGGAAATTAGTGCAAATGTGTATATTACGTCGCGTGCCAACCGACGAACGATTGCGCAAGTTTCATCGAAAATGTTTGATCGGCGTAATGACGTCCACGTGACGTAAGCGCTTCATTTATGAAACACGTTCATTCTAAACGCATCTGTTGAACTCCGATTTATTCTCAATTTATTCGGCCCGTTTTATCTTCAACAATTTTGTGGAAGTTTAAATTTACGGACATACGATACCGATCGTTCACGCCTCTGGCTTCCAACCAAGTCGAGTTCCCTGTATGCCTTCGACTTAGGCAAATAATCGCGATTCGTAAAATCACGGAACAACTTTCTCTGTCACGTCAAATGCTCTTATTTTAAGCAATTTCTCCTACTCGCAACAACTCGTGTCGAACTGTTGCAAATGCATAATGATTTTCCGTGTGATTTCCGCTTCGGCATAATTTGCGTTATATATACGCGATTCTAACGAAAATAGGACAAGCGTAAAATCAATTCCATAGTACGTTATTTCATTTTGTTTTATTTAAAGCCTGTCGACGAATCTTCCGTATATAAATCGGAACGATCGATGGAAACGACGAGATATTTTTCAATCGGTCGGACGAAAATAAAAGAAAAAGAAATAATTCGATTACAAGGAAATATACGTGGAGATTAGACGCGAAGGCGTGCAAGTGCACGGCTAATCGCGTTTCGCGTTGGTTAGGATAGTCGATCAAACGGCGACAATTTAAAAATATCGATGCTGCATGCGTATCCTAACCTATATTTATCGTCGAAACACGATTTTCGTTTCGCAGTTGTTTCAAGTTAATTACAAGAATCATACGCCAATTACGAATCCCGATAATTGTGACGCCACTCGATCGCGATAGCTGTTGAAACGTCTATTCAATTCTTCGTAGTGGCGTAGCGAGCAAACGCGAACGCGGCTGAAACAGGAAGTTGAGAAAGCAACCTCGTTGGCCACGATCGAAAAGTACTGGAAGCATCGAGAAGCAGTACGTAAGTACGTAATTCGCATTTCGTTCGCGAAACTCCGCAATGTATCGACACTCCGGTCAAGTGCAGCGAACTTTCGCTGGAAAAACTAGGCACGACGTTGTGAACGAGGCTTAAATCAACTTAGGAGAGCCACGTGGGCGAGTGTGTGCGTGGTGAACGTGTGCAACGCCAGATGGCGTTTACGTGTACCATTACACGGACGAGGCGCATCCAGAGGTAGAGAGGCGCGGGTGCGCATGTGCACGCGCATGCGCATACTTCCATATACTTCCACCGCTCACAGTTGCACGCACACACTCGCGTTAGTCGGCACTGAGCCGGGTATATACGTGGTGCATTGGGGTCCTTGCTCCCTGGCGTATGTGGGTCAGCAGTCTCACACACGCTACTATTCTTGCGTAACCAATGCATGCATACGGCCGACAGCTGCCGCCACTGCGGCGTGCACATGCACACACCGAGACGGAAAGTGCAGCCAATGCACTAACCTACGGTCTCTTCTTGAGAGGCCGCCGGCGATCTTGTTGTGTATACCGTGTGTGTGTGTGTGTATGTCTGCGCCTCTGTGCACCGGGCTCAAAGCCACGCAAGCTCTCGCTATCTCGGCCAAGCTTTTTCGAGGTTCTCGCGCTTTACCTCGATACTCGTGGTATTTGCTTCATTAAACGCGACGCTGTCCTCGTAAGGAGGAAGAGGGAGCGCGAGAGCTTTCCAGATATATCGCTTTTTCTTTTTTCTTCTCTCGGCTACTTTTTTTCCCTTCCCCCTCGACGTACACGCGATTTTTAATTGAACCTAGAAAGTTCGATGATCGAAAAGTTGTGTTATATTATATAGGAGTTAGAAGCATGCTTCGGATAATAATCAAGAATCGTATAATAAAATTGTATTTCGATACGACAATATTTTCTTTAAATTACAGATATAACGTAAAATTGATTTTAATCTCGAATAAATTACGTATTTATAATAATAATAATAATAATACGAAAAAGAAAAATGTTCAATTCAATAAAAACGTATTTAACGATTTATAAATCACGATTCGATTCATTAGAAATTACAAGGAAGATCATTTGTATTGACCAATTGATTTTATTAACCATACTGTACTTTGTCGTTTCGTACTTTGTATTCCTGTTTTATTTAGAACACGATAGAATAGTATATGACAATCAGCTATATTTAAAATGTTTACTATATCAATCAACTCAGAATTTATATAACGAAAGGTTAGACATTTCATTTTACATAACAGGAAAAGTAAAAATATTTTTTCGTTCTACGATACTATACATTTCCCCCCTCTGTTTCGCTATTTTCTCCAGTGTCGCGTAAACGGGATAATTATTTTTGAAAATCCATTTCCTGGCACTCGTAACAAGAATGTAATCGTAACAGGAAACAAGTCTTACGTAATCCATCGCGTGGCAAGTGAACGAAAAGCGAATTAATATTCGATCGAAGTTTTCGATGCATCACCTTGATGAATCGCCTTCGAATCGACTCGAGACTTTATTACGTCAAATATCCCGAACTCTTTTTCCCCCGATATTAAAAAATCGCTCGCACAGAAACGAAAGAAGTAAAGGCGGAAAGGGCGTGAAGAAGAAACTCGTGAAACTCGTTCTCGCGAATAGAAAACGTTGCCGTGTTTCGATTCTCCGTGACATATTTCCGGCGAGTTAGGTACCATCATGACGAATCTAGTGAAACGAGCCGCGTAATTTCACGTAGCTAGATTGAACCGCCTATAGGGGCCGCCGATGGTGAAAGTGACTCTCCCACGCCATGACATCCTAGATCTACAACTCCCCCCCTTCGACCGTGTCCGACTCCTAGCCGCCCCTTCCTCTCCTCCTTCTTCACCGTTTCTTCCTTCTCGCTCGCTCGCTCGCTCGCTCGCTGCCGCCACGCGATTGGCCGCCACCGCGTCGTGCCACGAGGAAACGAATTCTTGACAATGGTAATGAGTCGCGGATAAAATAATGCCTCGAGCACGGGACCAGGAAGTATCGCGGCCCATCACGGTGATTATTTAGGAAACCCAGGATTGGATTCGTGTACGAGTTCACGAGTAGGGAAGAGCAGAGCACAGAAAGCTTCGAGCCGCGGAGAAAGTTAACAGTTTTACCTGTCGCGGGATTTCCAATCTAGGAGGAGGGGGGGAGGGGGGGGGGAGAAGAGGAGGAAACGCTTTACGATTATCGCTCGAGATAACACCCGTTCGTTTGGAATCGAACTTCTTTCCGAATCTTCTTTTTGCTTTCTCCCCCCGAGAATTTTTTTCTCATCTTACGAAGAAAAGGGATGCACATTTACATCGTATCGTGCCACGTATGACGTAGTTTCGCACTTTATCACCGCGTGCCGTTATATCTGAGAAAGGGGGGGAGGAAAAAAGGAAAAAAACGACTTATCAGGCTTATCAGGCCGAGTCCTCACGGATGTGAAACCCCCGTGTCCACCTTCGAACCGAGTTATCGCAGAAAACGAAACGCATAACGGTAGAACGGCGTGCAATGTGGGAAATTTTACAATTTTACTGCGACTCGATCCGGGTTGCGCGTATTTAAAAAGCTTCCCGTTTTTCCCATTACCCCGAACTACTCTACTCGAACGGTAAAAGGGGAAAAAAAGGAATCCCGGCGAAACGCTTCGAAGGAGTTGGATCGAGATCCGCGTTCCTTCCTGGTGGCGCAAAAAGAGGATTCTCGATCACCGGCCACGCTCACCGAACTTTCTTTTTCGCGTGGAGAGAAGAGAGGGGAGGGAGGGAGAGACGAAGAGGAACACCGCACTTCCTCGAGCGTTATCTCGAAACAAGCTGGATCGCTCGCAAGGTGTTATCGCGTACGAAGGAAAGTTCTCTCTACCGTTAAACCATGTCTCCTCTGAACAACTTTTTCTCCAAGAAAAATCCAAAAATTGGAAACGATGGAAAATAAATATAGGCTTAGGAGATTAAGCTAGATTCGTTCGAATATTTTTCTTGATGGGAGGAAGCGATAGTTAGTCGAAGGGTTCGCCAGCGCCACGAAACTGGATCGAGAAATTTCTCTCTCTGCTCGACGTTATAAATATTCCTGCTTAATTTTTTTTCTCGTCGCCGGAGGAGAAGGAGAAAGAGAATCGCGCGTGTCGGATATTCGTGAATCGGGCACAAGCGGCGAGAAACGGTTAGTGAGAGTCGGAGAGGCCCCCCTCCCCCCCCCCCCGGTACGTTGAACCTCCGCAGTGAAAGTTTCTATTATACCACTGGCCTTACCTTACTTTTCCTACGGCAAGCTCTGCCGTGTTGTGTCATAAGTCGACGAGCGGGTATCGAAATTCGTTCCATCGCCTACTCCTCCGTTCAACTTTCAGCCGAAACCTATCGACGCGTTTCGATTTCCTTCCTCTCTTTTCCTTTCCTCTTTCATTTTCGAGAAATCATCGAGCGAATTTCGTTCCAGACATTTCCCCCCCCCCCCTCTTAATTTTCCATTCGATCGAATTTGAAAGATCTGGAATCGAAACGCCGGCGAAATATAAACGGATCGTGCGAGAAATGTTGGAACAACTGCTTCACCGTACGAAACGAACGATTTCGTCGGATCAGCGCATAGCTGATCCTCGAAACGTTGCAACACAACACAACGTGGCCGTGTTGTGTGTCGAAACGAAAGCGGGAAGAAGGCCTGTTGGCGAGAAAGAAAAAGCGGAAAAAAAGAAAGAAAGTTGCAAAATCAGGAGCAAAACTCCTAGGAGCCCCGTTGCTTTCCGTCTCGTTCGATCCAAGTCGTAGTGGAAAAACTCGATGCATCCCGATCTTTCTATTTCTTTATTCTTTATTCCCCCCGAAAAATATGGCGAAAAATCGAGTAATTCTAATCCTGCGGAGGGAGGGAAATTACGCAACGAGAATTCTATTCTTTAACCGGTGAGTAAATAAGAGAGATTTGGCCCTCGTTTCGAGCAGACGGATCGCAGAATAAATCCTCTCGATTCCGCGTACACGCGGTCTCTCGCCCGATTTACAATTATATCGGCGAGGCGTGCAATTGTGAAATCCAGTTCCAGTGTTATTGACCCGGAGAATCGCACGACACCTGCCACTTTGTGGAAAACTGAAATTCCTAAAGTTCGTTTTTCCGCGAAAAAACAAAATTCGCTCGAATCTCGTTCGAGGGTTAAAAATAATCCAAAAATGGAACAAGTCCTACCTATGTGACGACCTTGCAGAACACTCATCTTCGCGCACATGATACACGTCACGATCAACGGGGAATCCTTCCTATCCAATATCCATAAAACTCCGTGATATCAGCCGACGATCAACGATCGTGGAGCGTGGACGCTGGGCGCGGGGGAGAGCCGCGGCATGGATCACCCGCTCTATAATTAAACACACAACGTAACGGTTGCACGGTTGAGCGGCGCGCCCGAATAATTCGTCTCATCCTTCGAGATCCACATATTTCTCACGAGTCGTGTAAATCACTTTGGCCGGAGCCCGGCCCAAAATCGAGATCCCGACGCTCGCCACCGCACGATTCATCGCTGCCGGTTTTTAAAAATAGAAGACAATGCCTTCCCTCCTCGGCGAGGGAATCTTTGTTCGCGTCGATTCACTTTGATAGGTTGTGTTCGAGGGAACAACAACAAGAAGAAGAAGAAGAAGGGGGGCCGGAAGAGAAGAGGCGAGCGACGAAAAAAACGGACGCACGCACGCACGGAGCGCGGAGGAGCCTCGAAGTGAACGCCTCGCGCAGCCCAAAGTTTTTGGGGCAGCCAGTTGTGCGGGCCACGCGATCCACCGAACTCGTGGATCCGCCGAGTTGGGTGGCGGCGGTGGTGGTGGTGGCACCAGTGACCTCGATACCAACCGAGGCCCTCCAATCCAAACGCCCAATGCCAAAAACTCGTATAACGCGGGAACTTTCACTCTCTCGAACCTCTTCTTCGCGATACCCAACACTCGATACTCGAGACACAATCGGCCGGATTCCGATCTTTCACCAAGATCCCTTCGCGATATGTAACTCTATGATACGTCGCTACTCGCCAAGTCTACAATTCACGATTCTCGCAGACCACCCTGACTTACGTTCCTTCTTTTTCCTTTTTTTTTTTTTTTTCTTCTACGAAAATTCAACGAGATTCCAACCGATCGAAAACTTTCACCCAGGAAGAGAGAGACCGATCGAGGGGGACGGGCAATTTGTCGTCGAATTGTCGAGAGAAAAAGAAAATAGCGAGAGAAGGAGTGTAATCCCGCACGGATCGTGAAGAAGAAGAAGAAGAAGAAGAAGAAGAAGAAAAAAAAAGAATTGCACCGCGTTCGTTACGAGATTACGTGTACGATCGATCGACGCGGAAGAGTCCGTGTAAAATCGTCGATTAACCCCGCGCGTGCTTACGTGAGCGCGCGCTCGAAACGAGGGGAGGGGAGGGAAGAAGGGGGGGAGAGAGAAAAATCGAGCTCCAAATAAAGAACCGGCGAAGACGAGCAGCTCCTCTCTCGTCACCTTTTCTTCTTGTTGCGATTTCACTTTCGATCGCCGCTTTATTATACATCGCCATCATACCCGAGATAATTGTGCGTCCGATCTTGTGTCGGTGTCGCGCATCTTCGTTCGAGAAAGGCGAATTGAGAGAGAGAGAAAGAGAGAGAATTGGCTGGGTCGGTTGTTGGTGTTTCGCTAAAGTAACCGATAAGAAAGTAACGAAAGTTGGGTCGGATGAAAGTTTCTCTCTTTCTTCTTCGTTCTTTTTCTTCTTCTTCTTATTCGCGAACTTCCTCCACCCTGTGTTTGTTTGTTTGTTTGTTTATTTATTTAATTCGGGATGAGAAAAATCCATCGAGACTGGCAGATATAAATATAACTTTTCGTATCGTCTGTATGCTCGACGCGGGACAACACTAATTTTATTTTAACCCATCAGCCTATTACCCAACAGCCAATTAATTTTCTTCCGCTTCCTAATGTTAACCCGCTCGTTGCCAGGACCAAATTACGTAATTTCGTTTCGTACCGTCGTTTCCCGAATGTTTGCGTTCATCTACAGTTAGCTTCGATTGCGAATGTATTCAATTTTTTGTTCCGAGAGTGAATAACAGTAACAAAAATTGGCCTTTTACGTAATAAATTCCATCCATTCCAACTTTTTCTCTTTCGATTAATACAAAACGTTTCACATTAGAAACGTTAATTAAACGATAAAAATACACACGTGCTTGCGCGCAACACGTTTGGCAGCGAAAGATACGTCGAACGATTCGGACAATATCCCCTACCCGTTATAATTCTAAAAAACTTACTTTAGCTGGCATTTCGTTAGCCAGCTAATAAAAAAAACAACAACAAATTCGTTATCGAAGTTGTTAAAGAGAGATGAAATTATGGAAGCGACGAAAGTAAAAGTACGAGAGAGGGACCTTGCTGTTTGTCGTCATCGCACATGACATCGAATCCTCTTTCTGCCCCCCCCCCCCACCTCCTCCCCCCTCTCCCCCCGCCCCGCCCCGCCCGTCCTCGCACACGTTTCGGCATACCGGTTTTTCGGCCCGCCTCGAAAACGACACCATCTTACAGGAAGATCGAACTCTTGGTGAAAACCGCGTCCTTCGTGGAACAGGGTTACATTACGTCACGCGTGTCACGTTATCGCTGTCCGCGTTTCACCGCGTGCACTTCGATCTCGATTTCGACGAGGGATTACGGCCTACGACGATGCGCGGCGATTCGTCGAGAGAAAAAAAGAAAAAACAAAAACGAGACGAGACTCGTTTTCTCTCTTTTCTCTTTTTTTCTTTTTCTTCTTCGCTCGATCAAAGGGCGGATTCGTTGTTCGCGAATCGACAACGGAGGAGCTGGTCGGTTACACAGAGGCCGCGTCGGTTACGCAATGGCCGCGCGAATGATGAACTTTTACATTTAACCACGGTGTAGTAACTTTGTGCGTAGGAATGTCGGCTAGGTAAACCGGCTTACGGATCACGACGAACGTAAAGGAATTTAAATTTTCTTACGATATTGCAGTAGACTTTATACGAAGTGAATGGCTTCGCTTCACTACCGTCGAGTAACCGTATCGAATGTTGTTCCGTGAAGTACAATCTTTTTCACGGCGAGATATACATATATATATATATATATATATATATCTCTTTTCATCTCAACGACACAGGCCAACTAACTCGAGAAATACAATTCAAACGTGCAAGAATAATCGATATATCTAAACGAAACGGTCAATTTTAACCGTTTCTCAAGAATTCTATCTCTGTTCCCCTCCTCCCCTCGAAAAGTGACCTCGAAATAACCATTCCTCCCCTCTCCCCACGAGGAGGAATACCACTACCCATTTCCCAACCCATCTCTTCCTCCGCATAATCCCCAAAACAAACAACAACACGCCCATCGCACACAATCCCGGTACCACCTGTTATACCCCTTTATCGATTGCGAGAGACCTGTCCCCCCCCCCCCCCGCTTCCTCCATGCTCGATTCACGCGCCCGATTCTCTCGTTCCACGAGGGGGGGGGGGAGGCAAGGAGAGGAGAGGAGGGGAGGGGGAAGGGGAATAAATGGAAACAAACAATCGGTCCCCGATACCCGATCGATCGTGCGAACGTTTCGAAAAATCGGCGGGGACGGAAATTTTCTCCTCGAAGTTTTTTTTTCTCCTCGGATCGAGGCTAGAGAGGACGGATGGCGCTGTTAGAGGCGCGTATTCGTAACGCGGCGGTGTGGGCAGCGCTGCAGTCGTTCGTACCAGCGCGTTGCGAGCGGTCGGCCATGGCATACTTACCGATGTCAATCACACCGGCAGGCATGCACCCGGCCGCCCGTGTTGTGTTGGTGCGCACGCACACGCGGTCCAAGACGCGCATCGACGCGCTCGGCGATCGGATCGAATCTCCTAGCTTGGCTCCTCCGTCGCCCTTTAACCCGTGCAATTTCCTCGACCATTGGTATCGCAGCTGCGGCATCTAAGCCGTCTGAACTTGGTCTGACCCGTTGCTGCGCGCGCCATCGACCCGTTTCTCGCCAACGGTCGAAAAATTTCGAAGGGCGCCTCTGGACCGTGACCATCGGCCAATAATCGACCGATAAAAACGAATTCGTGGAAACATCGACGATCATCGAACGCTGTGTCACGTGTTTATCGATGCTTTTTTTTCTTTATACGTATATATATATATATATATATACTACATATTATTTTTCTTTTCTTTTCTTTTGTTTTTTCTTTCTTTCTTTTTTTTCTCCTATTCTTATCTTTCGACCGAGAAGCGAGATCGCTGCTGTCGCCTGCTTACGATACGACACGATACACGATTCGTAACGTATATTTATTCTTATTGCGCGTGTAACATCGAACTCGGCCCATTTATTTTTCCAGTCCAGTTAGGTATCCGGACGAAGGATGGTTCGACGAAGGTGAGATCCGTGACTCGGCCGAAGTTTTTAATTTCGAAACGTTTTCGAGTCTCCATTCGTCTCGGATCGGACGAAGATTCCGTTTAATGGTTTTAAATGAGGGGAGGGGGGGGGGACGGGGGAAGAGATCATTGAGAGACCGTGATCGATATGTACGATACAAGGTGAGTCAATAAAAATAGAGATGTAGAGGAAAATATACGGAGAGGAATTGTACGACTAGGTAGTTTTTTTTCCCTTCGCTTCTTCTCCTTTTCTATACAAAACACTTTGTCTCCGTGCGTTTCGATGAGTGTACCTGATGCGAACCGTGTTATATTTCTTTCGATCGAATATAAGTGTAACGATTTAACGAGTTTATATTATAAATAGGAAATTCTCTATTGACTCACCCTGTATTAATAGCAGTGTAGTCTTGCACTGGTCGCACGTTCCTAGACCGCTTTGTTTCCCGGCAGACCTTATTCCTTCCAGGAGGGACGGATAATATCACGCGCTTAGTCACGTTTCCCAGTGATACTTGGCGCCATAATCACCGCAACTTGGCAAAACCGTATGTAAACAACACTGCTACGTTTCGGTAAATAGTTATTGATAGTGCGTAACTAGCCTTACTCCGCGTTTTCTTCGAAACTGTGCCAATAAACACACGGTCCGTTCTCACTTCCCAATAATACCTACTCTACTATTATTATTATTATTATTATTTTTTTTTTCGAATTTCAAAAAAAAAATAAAAATAAAGAGAACAAACACTTTTCACGTTTTTTTTTACCACGGTACGGAATGCACGCCTCGTTAACGTTACAAATATTTTTCCGACTGTACAGTATAGAAAATTTCAAGTATTCTCGATGAGGTCATTATTGC